AAAAAAAAAAAACACCCACAATATATTAATATTGCTCAAAAACATTAATAAAATAAACTCATTCAGTCTTTTTATGACATTTAAAGTATTTACAACCCAGAAAATTGCAGACATTAAATGTGAACTGTTTTATAAATCTCTATGTGGAACGTTATTGTACAAAGAATAATTTTGAGGCACTCAGAGCTGTCTTGAGAATTAAAAGCATTCCACTACAGAATGTAAACAAAGGCTTAAGAGACAGTAAAGACAGTAGAATCTTAAATTATAAAATTCTTTTTTACATGTTTAAAATTCTTGCTATTCATATAGGATTTGATCACAGTTAACAGCAGCTTTTTTGCAAACCATTACAATTAATAACAATTTGGGGAAATGAATTATGCATGAGAATCCATGCTCGCAGTAGTAGTTATATTTTCATTTCAGCATAACAAATGAAGTTTTAAAAATACCTTTGATGTATAGTGGGAGTGAAACCTTTTGGTGTCCAGGACCTACATAACATCCTTCAGGAAGGTAAGGGCCACAGGGTGCAGCACGAACTTGCAACTACCTATGGTCATGAACGTGGGAAAGGCCAGGAGTCTGTCATCTTACCCACATTATGGGTAGGGATCATTCTGAATTATGTTAAGTGTATTTGTGGTTGGAATTACAGTTTTTATATATTTTCAGTTAAAAATTGTGGGAAGCTATGCTGCTGATTTTACACAAAAAAGGAATGTGAGGACCACATGAGGCTTCAAGCTGCTCCCCTCTTCCCTAAGAAAATGATCATGCAGCAAATTACACGGTCAGCAAATTACATAATATCTGTAATTATCAGCAGTTCCAATGTCTTATTCAAATATTTTAGAATTTCAGAGCTGTAAATATGACATCAAGTTTACAGAATGATAGCTGTTTTCTGTACTGCAGCAAAAAACACAAAGTATTTTGTAGCACCTGTTTAGTTTTTAAAGGATTAAGTTTATATTTTCAACTTTCTTTTTAAAGATACACAAATACTACAGATTCTATTGCTGAAATTATTTTCTCAATGTATTCAAGATCAAAAGCAATACTAAAGAACACATGAATAGCAGAATATTGACATTGAAAAAAGTCTGTTCAAATGTCCTCTACATATTAAAAACTCAGTAGGTATTATCTGCCACGAACTCTCATATTATTTAGTACATATAAAAAAGTAAATGACATTTCCTATCATATTTATCTAATATAAAACTTATTTTGAAAATATATTCCAGTTAAATAAGAACCATACCTCCATATACAGTATAAATCTATGAGTCTTAAAAATGTATTCTGTAGTAAAGATTTATTATGACATAAACTTTCACAGATCAGAAGCACTTTGTACAGAGACCAAAAATTGTATTCAGAAGGTTTGAAAGACCATGACATGCAAAATAAACAATTGCAGAGCTGTTCTTAGGTTCAAATTTTGGCCAACATCTCATGCATCTGAAAAAGTAGACTACTGTACACTCTATGAAAGTTTGATCCAAGTAATTTTGAAACCCTATGCACATTTACTAGGAATAAGAACTGGATTCATTTGGGATTTATTTCTTGGTTAAAATGTTTGAAAGTGCACTATATATTTGTTAGTTTTTACAGACCCACTTTTCTCCTCCTTCTTGCTGCTGTTATACGTTTAAATATAACATTCTTAATATTTAAAAATGGACATACTGGAGATGGTGCTGCAAAATATTGCATGTTGTGTATATGTGAATGCAGAAATTATTTTGTGTGGTACATATCTCCACTACTGTGAGTTCACTGACTTCTATACACAGCCAGTGTGTAGGTGCTGCTGGAAGAATCCTTTATAAATGCTGTTCTTAACTTTTTTTCAGTACAAGTGAAAAATGGCTATCATTGCTCTGCCATTCTGATATCTTCTAGTTTGTGTTTTTTTCTCTCCAGGTTTAGCACAAACTAGAGAGAGCAATCTTCCTACTGCCATAATAGCAGCATTTCTGATCTTGGCATGATGTGGATATAAGACTACTCTTCCCAAATACTAATTAGATTTTTAAAGTACAACCTATCAAAAAAGTAATTTCCTCCACAATTAGCTGACACTTGAGTGAAAACTGGTAGAGCAACTTCCAGTTGCTTTTCACAAAATGAACTTTGGTGTTTCTGAGAACTTGGAAAGCTGCGGACAGCATACAAATTCCCAAAGCACTTCACTTAATTACTAAATGCTTGTTTAGAATCTTAATCAAATGTTATGAGAAAAGCTAATGGAGAAGCTGGCATATTGCCTAAAACAAGACACAATTTTTTAATCTACTTAAAATGATAAAGATGAAATCTTAATGTTTATGGATGCGCAGAAACTGTTTGCCTTACAACTTCCAAAATTTAGTAGATACTTTGGGGGCTTTTGGTGTTTTTTTTGTTTTTTTTTTGTCCATGCAGAACATCTGCATACTGAGAGAGAAAACTTGGCTTCTGTTCTGCATCAACGTTTGGCTTGTGTGACTGATACCTGCCATTCTCCAGTTTAAGGAGCAGAATTTCAAAACTTCTGTAGGTAAATCCAGGTTACTTAACATAAGAGCATGACATCTGCTATACCAACAGCCACTCCTAACATAACTCACCTTTTCCCCAAATTGTTCTCACCATCTGTAGTTCAGAAATAGTCTGAGGAAACATAGAATTCCCTTGCCTCACCACACTTGACAGGAGACTGACTGCTCTATTTTCTGCTGTTCTACCTTTCTCACTACATCTCAACCAGTACAAAATGAAGCTAAATGTTACAGATTTTGTATCTTACATTTATATATTGTATATGTTTTAATGTTATGTGATTGGGGGGGGATGTTTGTTTTTTGTTGTTGTATGCTGCCCAGGGTCACATTGTTTGAGTTGGACGGCCTTATAAAACTAATACAAGCATACATACATAAAAAATTATGAAGACAAGTTTGCTACCACTTCCTTCCCATCCACCACCCCAACCACATTTTTTTCTTCCTTGTTTTTATGTCTTTGGGCTCTGCAAACCTGGAATTAGGGAGAGGGAGCACAGATAAAAAGCTGGCAGAAGTGAAAATGACATCTTATGTAGGGAAGGAATTCAACTCTCTAGCCTTTTTCTGTGTTGGGAGAAGTTGCATCCACAAGGAGAAAAAGGGTATGCATTTGAATAAATGCATTATTTGAATAAATGCATTGTTTGGCTTGTAGTGAATTTAGGAAAAGCAAGGTCAGGCTTCTCACCCATCTCATCTCACCCATCTCACCACCCTCAAATAGATCTCAGTGGTTTGGGAGTTGAGGAAAAGTGAAAGAGAAATCCATAGAAACTCGAGTCTCACTTTGCAGCGCAGAAGCTGTTCCTGTTCCACTCCTGAGACAAAAGGAACCAAAAAAAGGCTGTTTTGAAATCTGGTTTGAGAGGGAGTTTTTCTCCTCTCTCAAAACAGTAGGACCAAGATTGTTCCAATGAAGTTGATTTGGAGGAGATTTAGAACAGACAAAAGAAAGTACTTATTCACATAGCACATGATTAACCTGTGGAATTCACTGCTGCAAGATGTGTTGATAGATCTTAATATATGATTGTAGAATGTAAGGGTTGGATGACATCTTAGAGATCATCTAGTCCAACCCCATGCCCAGTGCAGAGATACTACACTATCCCCAACAAATAGCCATCAAAATTTTGTTGAAACATCTCCAGTGAAGGAGAGTCCACCTCCTTCCAAAGCCATCTGTTCCATTGTTGAATTGGTCTTACTATTAGAAAACGTTTCCTGATGCCAAATGAAATAAACTTTCTTGTAATTTAGCCCCATTCTTTATTCTCCTTTCTTTTGGAACAAGTCTGAATAATTTGGTACCATCTTCTACATGACAGCCTTTCAGATCTTTGAAAACATCTAGCATGTCTCCCCATAGTTTTCTACAGGTAAAACATACCTAATGCAACTAGTTCCTGTAGGTTTTTCCTTACAGGCCTCTTACCATCTTGGTTGTTCTCCTTTGGACATGGTTGTTTGTCAAAATGGAGTGACCAGAACTGAAAGCAATATTTTAGACATTGTCTAACTAACAACGAATAATGATAACTTCTCTTGATATTGGTTTCTGTTTACTTTTTTTTTGCAGCTGCATCATACTGTTGGTTCAGGTTCCACCAAGACAACTATTTCCCTTTTGTATCCACTGCCGCCCTAGTCTTCTCCAGCCTATATATGATTTTCCTGTCCAAATATACGACTTTTCATTTGACCTACTGAAATTCATCTTATGTGTTTTTGCTAATTATTTCAGCTTGTTGCAATCTTAAATTCTGATGCTGTTTACTTTTTGCTACCTTCCCTATTTTTATGTTTGTCTGCAAATTTGATAATCATATTTTCTAATCCTTCACCCAAATCATTTATAAATATGTTGGATGGCACAGGTCAGAAAATGGAGCCTTGTAGTATAGCACTCAATCCTTCCAACTAAATGAGGAGTCTTTAACATATACACATTGGATACAATTGTTCAACTAGTTCTATATCCATCTAATGGTAGCATAGTCCAACCCACATTTTGCCTTCTTTTCTCTTCTGAATTTATTGGACACTTTTGTCAAATGTTTAGCTAAAGTCAAGGCACACTTTGTCAAGCAATGCGTTCTTTTCTAATGCTGACAAATTGACTGCTTAATAATATTCTACAGAGTTTTGCCTGATATTGACATTAAGCTGATTATTTGTAATTACCCAGGTCCTCTTTTTTCCTACTTGAAAACAGGAACGTTTGCTTTTCTCTAATCCTCTGACACTCTGCCTATCCTCCATGATTTTTCAAATATCATAGAAAGGTGCTTCAGTGTGACATCTAGAAGCATCTTCAAAACTCTTAGATGTAATTGATCTCATACTGGAAACTTAAGGGGCTTTAAGTGGGCTTGTATGCTTTTAAAAATAGGGATAAATTAATGGAGAACGCATAAATGAAAGACTATTAGTCTTGAGACTCAATGATACCTTTGGTTTGGGGGCAGCCAAATACCAGTTGCATGGAATAATGGTTATGTCTCCACTAGCAAGCTCAGCAGAGGCATCTGGTTCATTGTAAGAAACAAAATGTGGGACTAATATGGTCCTTGGCCTGATCCAGCATTCTTAGATTTATTCATATTTTTGCTATGATCAAAAATACATGGACAAAAGTACATGAAGAATAGATACATGAAAAAGAGTTCATAACTGTTTAGTTCTCAGTTATGAAATTTTTTTTGTCAATTTCTCATTTTTAGTTTGCTCACTTATTAAATGGGTGCAAATGACTCTTTACTACAAGTACTAAGTTTACTATCAACAGAAAGGGATCTTTTCTATTACAAAATCTGAAATTGTAATGAACTAGTCCTGGAAACAAGCTATCTATTTTGTTTTAATATATCATCAGAGAATTGCGATCATAGATGCACGTGCTAGTGTATTTCAAGTAAAATCGTATGCACTGCTCAGTAAAAGAAAATGTTTCTTGCTCTAACAGGGAAAAAAAAGTCACAGAATCATGTGGGTTGGTCTCCACACTATTCATATTTGCTGTATTTTTTAAAAATGGTGCATGAAATTTGAGAAAATACAGAAAACATTTCCAGTGGCTCTCTCTCACCATTTTCAAAGCAGTTTATAAATATGAAAAAAATGGGCTCTATAGTTTTATCACTTTAGAATAAAAATTGTCTAAAATAACTCAAGTGGAGTTCAAGTCCTGTGACTACAGGATCACATGCATATAGTTTTTTTGGCCACAATGTGGAAATCATTTGCCTTTTTATCCATTACCTTTAGGCAGTGAAAAAAGAGTAAATTCTCTGTTGAGTTAGCTCAACACCTAATGATGTCATGGACGAATCCATGAAAATTTCTTTGCAACAATATGGAAATAGAAATTGCCACTGTCTTTTTTCCAGGATGTAGTTTCGACTTTCTAATCTAATCTAGAGTCCTGGGATTTCTTGGGTGTCTCCTGTCCAACTAACTCACATCAGACTTTGCTTAACTTTTTCAAATTTGGCTGGATGCTGTCATTTGCTAGGTCAAAAAGTATCTGGAATATTTATATTACATTCAAGCCTCAATTTACCAGATGCAGTGGACCAAATTTCTGCTGAGATTTGCATAATGATATCAGGATGGAAACAATATAATTTACATCATGCAAATGACATGTAACATCATTTGTATCAATTTATATCATTTGTATAAAATCATTATGCAAATAATGTAAATTAGTGTGAAAGATATAATTAGCATAATGTGTATGATGATATAATCACACAAATAATGTACATGCAAATAATGTAAATCCCCACAATGCCCTATTCTCTGATTCAACAGATTTTCTCAACAGAACCTCCTCACCACAATTAGTCTTTTAAAATGCCTGGATCTGGGGCCCCGAGTGTTGTGTCTCCTGGTTGTGCTAACAACCATTGATTTTGACATCCTCCTTAGCTACTGTATATTTTAATTTTTGTATTTATGATAGAAATTTGTTTTTAATTTATTAAGATTGTTCACCGCCCAGAGTCATTTGCTGAGAGGGACGGCCATACAAATTGGGTAAATTAATACATAAATAAAAGGAGGTTTTATCATGTATTATGTATTAGTTTACTTTAGTTCAGTTTAGTTTAAAAAATCCTGAAGGGACAATCCCCAACCACTTAAGTTGATGACTGGAAGACTAAGTAAAACTAACACCCCTGCCTTCCAGCCAATATATCAGTGTGACCTAGGATTGCAGATGAGATATCAGATCTAACTCCTGGCCCCTTAAGGATCATTCTGGAAATTTCTTCTGATTGAGAACATCTTCCCATCAAAACAAGTTCATAGTAAATTTACATTGCTAAACTCCATCACAACCTGAAAACAGAAAACAATATGCCTTTTTTTTTTTTTTCTAAGTGCCAGGAGGAAAACAGAACTAGCAAAGACTAATTACAAAATGCAAGTGCAATCTGGCAGAAAGTTTGATAAATATTGGACTCTTAAAAAAAAGACTGAAGCATATCCTTAATCAGCAGCTTTTAAATGTTTTCTGGCTATGAGCTTAGCTTTTTCTAGCCCACTGATATTTCAGCAATTATATAAAGCCAGCATACTGTAGGAATTTTAAGTGGAAGGAAAACATTTTATGTTAGACAATAGGGCTTTGCAGATTTTGAAAATAGTTTGGAAGAAGTATTTCAGACCTTATGTAAGCATGAGCACAACCTCCCTACTACTACTAATTAAAGCAGCCATGTATTTTTTTCAAGCTTCTGCACAAGTTGAAAAAAAATACTACTGCGCTAAGGACTCAACTTATTATAGTGCCTTGTAGAGCAGCAGTATTTGGTTTCAGCATCACACAGAAGCCTGAAATAGGAAGAGCTGCTTTAATGAATAGTAGAGAAGTGCTGAGCTCCCATGAGATACAAAGCACTTCTTCCGAATCTTTCTGAAGCATTCACAGCCCTCATGGGTAGGCCTTTTCAAATTAAGGGGAATTAAGCAAATGGAGATTAAAAAAACAGACTTAGTTCTTAAGGCTGCAGTCTACTAAATTTGGATCTTGTCTTAGTTTTATCATTTGGCACAACATGAGGATTTATTCAAATTGAAAAGGAATTTTGTTAATGTGCATTGTGAAAACAATATAGGAATAAGCCTATTGTCTGAAACATGATAGAAGGAAACTAAAACAAGAGAGTGGTGCATGCAAATACATTACAGCTCTTGCTAACGCAAGAATTTGTTGATAAAGTTGGGTTCAACCACATAGACATACATACAATTGCTTTGTACGATACAAAATAATGTATGATTTACTAAGAAAGAGAAAGGGAAGATAATATACTGTTCTTACACATTGGGGTGCTGAAAGAACTTTACTGTGATTTGGCTTCTTTCTTTAAACCACCCAAGCAATGAAAGGAGTAATATGTAAAGCATTTGGAAGGAAAGGTGAAATAAAAATCTTAATTCTAATCTCAACATTTATTTGAATGTATGAGAATAATATGAATTATTGCTTTTTTAAAAAATTAATCACATTACTTAGTTAATGCGAAATTCAGCACATTAAAAACCCATCAGCAACTTAAAGATGTTATCATGTTCGTAGGAAATGTTTTGGCATTATACGCCTATCAGTCTTTTTTCTGTGTCTAGTAAGACTTGGGTTCACTTTCCAGATCTTTAGAACGGACACCTGTGCAAGACAATTATCTTGATGTACATGAGGATTCACAGTACTGGAAAAAATCAAGTTATGGCAGTGAAATGATAATACCAAAAACATAACACAGACTTTCACGTGAGATATCAAAACATGCATGTAAAGTTAATTTCAGGCTGCATTATCATAGGTTATGGGAATTATGCCGGAAATTATATCTGATATGTTCAGATATTTGTCTTTATTTTTCCCTCTCTATCATCATTTGATATATTCACACTTAACTAGATTGACTGCAGATCTGAATGTGTTCGTGCACTATGATCCACTAAAACAGGAGTTGTGTCCATACTGTTTTATTTAGCATTGTGATGCCAAATTTGTGCTTAGAAAAAAACAATAGCTGTTCACTCACCTGAGTTTTTGGTTATACTGTTTTACTTTTTCCAATGAAGCTGCATTAATCTGTGCTTGAAATTCTTCTACTGATACATTGTCTCTATAATAGTACCCTTCCATACTTTCCAGGGCTATAAAAGAATACAAAAGAAACAATACAGATTCTCATCAAACTGATCCATTGATTCATTTCTTCCAGTTTTCCTGTATCTATAGATGCTGTAGTCCTCCAAATATGATTCTGCCTTTCTACAGCTAACACACATGGGACTGGAATGTACATGGTCATATTACCTAAAATAAAATCATTACTGAAGGAAATATGTCCTCTAAATAGAAAGATATCGTAAGCCAGTCCTTTTCTGTACCTTTAAATATACTGTATATGTTAAGGAAGAATGTTCTGCATTTCACTGTTATAAAGAGGACGTACACATTCCTATAGTACATTCTCAGGTAGTCACATAAGATTAGGTTAACCTATGTGTCTGCAATAGCCTTTCTCAACTCGGCAACAGGTTTATTATTTACTTGGAGTATTACAAGTGTTTATATTATGCTTTCAGAATAAAAATCATTCTAAAGCAATATAAAAATCCTCTTTACTGGCAAAATTTGAGAACAAATGTTAAACTTTTAGATCAGTGTTTTTCAAACTTGGCAACTTTAATGAGGATAAGCTCCCAGAATTCCCCAAAAGAATGTATGTTTTTTAAAGAAAAATGTGTACATCTCAAGTTCAAACATGCAAGAAGATGTCCAAACAGACAGAATCTACAAACAAATGGATATATTAAAAACCAAGGTAGGCATGAGTGAGATGCTAATATTCAAATGAGTAGAATAATAACATACATACATTTTACTTATGCATGATGTGATTCTCTTCAAAATACTGCTGTGTCCAAGAATGCTGTCAAGCTTCAGAACACCACTAACTGCATTATTTTCCTTACAAGTTCTTAAAAACTGTTAAGAGAAGGTGAACTTAAAAATATTTTACCTTGTGCAAATAAAACTGGGTAAAGTTTAAAACCTCCACCATTTTTCAGTCTTTGAGGAAGCTGTTCAAAATTGTAATTATCAAGATAAAAATAAATTTTCAAAGCTTGCCGGCTTCCTTCTGCTTGATACGTGATTGGCATATCTAAAAATAAAATAAAATAACATTTTATTAAAAGCTACCAATCCAAGGTTTGCAAGTTTTTCTTGCAAAGATTTACAAATATTTTAAGAAAGTAAAACTAAATCGACCATTTTTAAATGGGAATAAAGGAGAAGGAGTTATGCGTAAGACCGGAAAATAGTGTGACATAATGATCTGAATGTTGGAGTACAATTGAGAAAACTCAAGTTCAAAGTCTTTGTCAGGAAGTAACCTATCTCACAGGATTGTTGTAATGAAAAAATGAGGGGAACCACATATATATTTCCTTGAGCTACTTGGAAGAAAGATGGGACATAAAACAAAATATCACATTTAATTGTGGTGCCACGGGAAACATAGTTCAGATTGGAAGTTTATATTGACCTACTATCCAAATGCCAAACATTGAATCCTTGTGTCACACTGTCTGTTTGCACTGTGACACAAGGATTCTATGTCATAGCATCATCACATAGTTAATTTCCTTACCTACGTTCCATATCATTGACTACTGCTGAATAAAGATAAGAAAATGCAGTAATAACATGCTACATGGAGCACAAATGCAGTCCCTGTGATAATACTAGATGGCACCATCTCAGGTTTTAACATTTATTTTAAAAATTACATAGTTTTTAAACGTCTAAAATCTTACAAGACTTCTGTGTTCTTGCACAAGAATTTACAAGACTTCAGCCATTTTTAATTTTGAAAAACTCAGTGAAAATGTAACATTCCTAATCAGAAAGTCTCCTTCCTCTATATTTTCTTTTGTAGATACTGTTACTTTTGTTGGGTAGCTTTAAGATAAAATTTGAAATTGTGACTATGTTCATACATTGTGCTGTGTATGTGGGAGGTGTTGGCTTAGTGTGATGTATGAACCCAGCCGTTATGGCTTACCGAATATATCATGGTTAAACAAAATAGTAGTTTAGCACATTGCAGAACCCAATCAGTACCTTTAATCTTGAAATAGTGGAACCTGAATAAAGACCTTCTGACCATCTTCTTTTCATTTTGTGCCTGGCTACTACCCTAGGTTTTATTAATAATTCCCCTTTCCCCTCTAACTTGTATTTATGCCTACAGCTATCATAAGTAACATTAAACTTACTGCACACCTACTATCATTGCTAGGTGCTATAAATAAAGGAATGGCATCAAGGTTGCAGTAATACTGGATACCATATTACCATTCTCCTCAAAAAGGTTAAAAATGGAAAATGTTGCATAAGCATAAAGCTACAATAGTATTTACCATACAAGCAAATATGACGGAAATAAAAAATGTTCTTATATCCTATAATATTTTACAAGAAAGGGGAGATTTAAATATACTTTGCAATACTCACTTGCTAGTAAAGGCTCCTGTTCAGAGTGTTTAAAATAAAATGTAACTTTCTCCAAGTCAAATAATGCAACCAATGTGTCTTCTAGCATAGCTTGTTCGTCAGTCTGAAAATATATACATACAAAGAGCATCTAGTAATCATGCTAGATTGATTATTATAAACATTAACTGCAGATGGTCATATCCTCTTTCACTGAAGCAATAAACTGACTCATCAGTAAATGAAGATGTATTGACTTCTACTGAATTTATTCCATCTCCTCTTTGTCAGGTTATTAACAACAATGAATACAGAATAGAAATTTAATTTACTGTGTTGGCTGTGTAATTTAATTGCATAGAATTTTAATTGTTGTTCAGGTAAACAAGTATACTTAAAATGTGTTACTACAAACGAAGCTTAAATGCTTACACTGGTTTTTGTATGCTACAATATTTAGTACACTGAAAGGAAAATGAAGTTCTGCATTAGTGTGGCTTCTAAAACAATTTGTAATTTTCTCAGCACATTTTATTATTATTGCTAACAAAGAAAACATTCACCTAGAACTGCAGCTTACTAGAAGGCAAAGATTTATAGAATTTACAAGGAGTTTCTGATTCCTTTCCTAATCAATCCAATGCAAAATAATACAGAAGTACTATATCTTCCAGAGGCATCTTTAACATATTAGGTATGCCACCTTTCATCAACCTAATATCACTCAGTGGACTATATACCACCACCCAGAATTCTCAACCAGCATGGGCAATGGTTATTTAGAAACTCTGGGAAATGTAATGCAACATATTTGTAGGACACAATGTCGGGAAAGGCTGCAATATGGGTTTGATTTCTGTGGACCAGAATTTCTGGGCTTAATGGCCACATTTGAAATTTTAAGGGCAAATCATGACTACACAAGAATATACACACACAGTGGCTGCCATGGCATTTTGACTATTTCCAAAGTGACTTCATTTGGAGGGTTACCAATCACAACATCCATTCAGCAGAAGTATACACGAGATTGCTGATTGTTTCACAATCTAATCCCTTCAGGATTTGTCTGTCACATCACAGATGACTCACTCATTTCTTCTCAGTAGGGGAACACAATTCAAAACAAATGACTAGGTTGAAGCCACATGCCATTTCTATTTCCTAGAATACTTGTTAGGCACAGGTGTGAGGCAACAGGCTTTTTGGTAAATAAAGATAATGATAGTGGTTGACACCTCATTTATCGCTTTCCAAAATTTATCTTTGTTGATGAAAATAATCTGTTCAAAATTAATCTTAGCTGAAAAGGGACCTGATGGGGGCCAAGAGATGTCTGTGGGCCCATTGGTGGCCTCAAATACCATGCTGGGGATTCCAGCTGTGTTCATGAAAACTGCTTCAAAAGTGAGGAGTATAAGATACTGATACAAAACCACAGAAATCAGAAAGAATGAAACATCAGTATCATTTAAGAAGAAACTATATTTTCTGATGGAATAAATTAAAAAATATGTAAATTTAAGTAAATAATGTTCCACAGCATTAACTGCTAAGATATAATGTGTTCAGTCCAGACAGTAAGTCCTATGGGAACTAAGCTGTAGTCAATTAAATGACTAAGCTGTACTTAGTCACTGAAGCTCAAATGTAACTAATGTAGCCTAGACTCAATCCAATGGATCCTGGTATCAGAGATTTACAAAAGGAGAAAGTAGGAGTGAAGCCAAATCACATGTAAGGGAGAGGAAACCGCACTTCACATGAGTGAGTGTTTGAGGACTGTAGTTAATGGCATCACAGAGCCTAGAAATGCTATATCTAGTGGTCTCAAACTCTTCCCAGTTCTGGCTTCAGTGAGCACTTCATAATTACCAACCAGCCATAATTAGGAGCCAACAAAAAGATTTAAAAGGCTAAAAGTAATGTCATATATTAATATGAACTAATCAGCTCTTTTATTCTGGTACACAGTGGAAAAATACAACAGATTCTTGATACAGTTGACCTATTGGTTTGATTTACCAAGTTTTTAGAATAATATAAAATGATATCAATTAACATTCAACAACATTCTTAGAAAACTGCTTCTTCTTTACAGAGTTTCATTTCAGCTGTTTTTGGTCAGGATAATAAAGTATTAGTCAATATTATATAGACATTCATAGGATTTCTCACCAGATTTGGTGACAGCAGTGACTGGAAATAAAGGAGGACACCTGCAGTGGATATCTGTTCCAACCATCTCCTACTGGCCTCTTGCGTTTCCATTTCACACTCCTTGCCATTGTCAAACATCTGATTTAAGGCAGCCATTAATTGTTCTGAAAATGCACAAACTGTAGCTACTAGACTCTGGCAGAAGACCATGTCCCTCCTGAGCTGTATCTCACTATCTGCAAAGAGCATAATAGATGAAAAATTATCTAAGTTGACCAGAAAGTAAGTGTACTCTTAAGCACTGACCTTGTTCTTTGGCACAAAAATCGCTATGAAGCACCAAGTGATATATATGCATATAGTTTCTCTTGATTGCACAGGCTGATGATAAAAATGCCATGCTGTGGCTATATGGTATGCTTGTAGGCTATAGGTAAAACCATAAATGAATTTAATTATTAAATGATTCTACCTCACTAGGCATTCAAGCATTAAAGAATGCTACTTGCTATGAAATTTTGTTTAAATTAAATGTATATGCTGTAATACTTTTCTATTCTGCATTTACATCTAATTCATATCCACAAGTTAGCCTACTTTTATGACAACTATCTTCTGTATAATAAATTATCATTTACCTCTTTATATTGTAATCTTATACATACTTGCCCAAAACGTCCAATGAAATGCACGGGTCTTATTATCACATGCATCAACAGAGGTAGTCCTCGCTAAACAACCACATATTCCACAACCGTTCAAAGTTACGATGGTGCTGAATAAGGGAGACTTACAATGGGTCCTTGTAGCTGCGGCCATTGCAGCATCCCCTGGTCATGTGATCACAATTCAGGTGCTTGGCAACTGGCTCGCAATTACAATGTTGCAATGTCCCACTGTCATGTGATCATCATTGAAGCTTCCCTGCCAGCTTCCCACATGCAAAGTCAATGGGGAAGCCAGCAGAAGTTACAAATGGTGACTATGTGACATCCTCACTTAGCAACCTGCTGTGATTTGCTTAACAATGCCAATTGAGAGTGCCGGAATTTCTGTCGCTAAGTGGTACAGTCACATGACATCATGCTTTATGACTGTGTCACTTAGTGATGGAAATTCCAGTCTCAATTGCCATTGTTAAGTGAGGACTATCTGTAAAAAAATTGTGCAAAAGCCTTCCTGCTCATAGCTACCACATGCTCCTCAAACACAAGTTGTGAGTCCAGAAGGACTCTGAAATTGCGGACTGATTCCATTAGTGCAATCCTATCCAGAAGAGATTAATACCAATTACTAAATATTAAACTATTTTATTTACTTACTTACCGTATTTTTCTGACTATAAGACGATACTTTTTTCTAAAATCCTTACCCTTAAAAACCGAAGGGCGTCTTATTCAAGGAAGTCAGCCGAGAATCGCGGTTGCAAAACTGCCAAACTTTG